CTGCCCTTTGTGATGTCATGAAGGGAAAATCTCCAAACGGCCTGTTTGAGCACACATTTTCTGAAAAGTGGAGCAGGAAGAAGACAGAGAGGATGGACTCTTCTCATCATTGGGGGTTTGTAGACTAGAGACACATGTTAGAGTTAGAGGAACATGGAGAAGAGGATTTTGAATATGTGACCTTTAATTTTTCAACGTAAGGAGAATAGAACACCATCAGAACAGATCCGGATTCTTTGCTGGCACTGCGATGAGGCTGCAGACACATTGATCAGTGCAGATGACACTCAGAGGATGTTGAAGGATACGGTCGTCATGGTGATGGAGTGGGACAGCAGAACCGTTTCACTGCGGTAATGTGTTATTGATCAGAAACAATCGCCGATTTAGAAAAGACGTGGTCATGTTTATTCACTGTCACACGGCCAAGATGATGCTGTGAGGGGGGAAAAACAGGGACGGGTGGAAAATGTGTCAAATACAAAAGTAGAGATCGTTCTGTTTATTGTCGAGTCTCAGACTCTTCCTCGGGTCAAATGCAGATTTAAAAACAAGGACAAAAGAAGAAAAGTTCTGCTGAGATCAAAACACTTCAACTTTCTTCTTTCTTTTTAATTATCATCCCTTTAACATTTATTTTAAATTAGAGCTGAATGCTTTCCTTTATTTGTTATTTTTAATTATTTGTGCTTTCAAACCTTTAAATTCCTCCTTTTGACCTCCGCCTGTGTCTCCCTTTTTAAAAACAAACTGTCCGTTGTTTTCCGCTCCGGCTAACCTCGTGGCATTTACTCCACTCAAACAGTTCATAGTGTTTCCCATGAGGAGCACACGGCTCTGTTTGTTATTGATCTGTTTATTGACCTGATGTCCCCGCTGAGCGTTTAGAGAGCTCCTGATCCGTCATCACAGAGGCACTGAGTTCACTTCATGTAGGCCGCAGAGGATCTGTGGGATTTTTAAACCGCTGAGCTGATTCACTGCGTCGCCATGTGGGGAGAAAAATACGATACTATAATAATACACGATACGATCTCTGTTATTTAAATCTTCCAGAGTATTGGAAAATACAGAAGCATTAAACGTGGAGTCAGTAGAAATGTTTGTAAACAACATTTACTGGCGGACAGGAAGTCCATCAAACGACTCCAAAGACAAAAAAAACAAAGAAATTATAAGTTTGTGTGAGTTTGTGAGTGTCTCATAAAATGAGATTACACTGAATCCTGCTAATGTTATAAATGTAAAGTGTTACTTGCTGATTGTTTAAACATGAAGTGAAAGATGTCTGATATTTAAACGCGATGTAAATATCGATCTTCCTGTCAGACACGGAGGTGCGTCTGGTGTGCAGAGGTCTGTTCCCGTACCTAGAGTCTGGATGGGACATCTGGTGGACAGTCGATGGGAAAACGCTGGATAAACTCCCGGACCATCAGAGATTCTCCAAAATCAACAGGTGTGAAAAAAAACTCTACCTTCTCTTTAAAGTCTCACGCAAATGACCTTTACTATCTGATCAGACATGAAGGAAACACAACAATGCAGCAGCCAGTATGTCCTCCTTCTAACTTTAGATTCTGCTCCTGAATGCTCTGGATTTGTTTGGACCAGAGAAGGTAGGCAGTTTTAAGGCGACCCCCCACACGGCCGTTTTGGACGCCCCTCGGTTTGCCAGATATGAGAGCAGTTATCAGGTCAAGGAGACAGCTCTCTAAAATGTTTAGAATTTAGACTGCAGTACCCATTTTAAACACTAGGGGTCAGAGTTACATACTGCTCCTTTAAAAGACAGAGTCAGCATGTTTCCCCTTCAAAATAAAATCCAGACTTCTCCTAAAGTGAAGCTGCTCCATTGTCCCTTCTGGGCCTCCATACATGTGTGGTGGTGACTGTGTCTGCAGAGACTCTGTCCTCTGACTGGAACAAGTTGTCAGTGTTCTACTGCTGAGTCTGTGTGATTTTTATTTTGTGTTTGTTCACAGTCAGGTGGATTACGACTACGGGGACCGGACGGAGGAGAGCGTTCTGGTAATCAAAGACTTCCAGTCTGAAGACCTGAACAGAGAGTTCAACTGCTCGGTGAGGAACGAGAAAGGCTTCAAGACCCGCAGAGCTCAGCTGGAGGAGGAGGGTGAGAAAACAACCTCACAGAGACTCTGATGTAGATCTGTCACACTCACAAAACTCCTGAATTTTATTGGGGGGAAGGTTGAAAAATGGAGAGAGGTTAGAACACAGGAAGGTTTACAGACCCATGCAGAGCTGGATAAACACTGAAGCTTCAGAGTCCACCACATGGTGACCTGAGTGAGCATCCACTCTAGAGAGGAGGGGGGGAGACAGCTCTCTATGATGATTAGAATTTAGACTGCAGTACCCATTTTAAACACTAGGGGTCAGAGTTACATACTGCGCCTTTAATTTAGTCATAGAGGTAACAGGGATCGGACCCAAACCCAGACTAAAGCACAGAGCAGGTTGAGTTTAATGCTGTGTGTGTGTGTGTGTGTGTGTGTGTGTGTGTGTGTGTGTGTGTGTGTGTGTGTGTGTGTGTGTGTGTGTGTGTGTGTGTGTGTGTGTGTGTGTGTGTGTGTGTGTGTGTGTGTGTGTGTGTGTGTGTGTGTGTGTGTGTGTGTGTGTGTGTGTGTTGCAGTGTCGTTGCCGTCGGTGGAGCTGGGCTGCGGTCTCGGTGTCACCCTGGTCCTCATGCTGCTCCTCTTCGTGGTCTATCAGGTCTTCTGGCTCGAGCTGCTGCTGCTCTATCGCTCGTGGTTCGGCACTGATGAGCGGCACACAGGTGAGCGTCAGGTGACCCCTCAGGTCTGTCTTCTGTGTCTCTGACTGGACCTTCAGATTGGATCTAAATGAGAGTTTTTACTGTTTGCTGTTGTGCTGCCTGACTCGGCCTCTGACGCAGCTGTAAACAGGTTTACATAATGTTGCACCTTTTTCTATAATCACAAACTGTCCGCTGTAAAACTGCTGCTCTGTTGTTGCCAGGTAACAAAAAATCTGCCGTCTCACCTTCACAGCTTCACTTTTTTATAACCTGATACTAAATTCCTGCTCTTTAACGATGGTGTTTTTTGTCTGGCTGCGGGCGGAGCATTTAGATTATTAAACCTTGTATCTGTGGAACAGAGGAAAGTGTAACTTCTTCAGACAAGCTGCCAGATTTATTCAATCAACCCTCCAACATTCAGTGTGAACGTGTGGATGTGAGGAGAGCTTCTGCCAGCTGAAGCATTTTCACCAGAGGTTTTTATTTCAAAGCTTTAACTCTTAAAGACACGACCACACCGCCGCACCGCGCTCTGCATGCCAGTGAAACTTAAAAATGATCATAAAAATTTACTTATCACCCTTATTTTTAAAAAGGGCAATTTTGTAGTTTTAATACCTGGGTGAAATGTTAAATGTCGAGGTCAAACGAAAAATAAGACCAAAAAAAGTTTTGAAATCACTCCTGGAGATTTGTTCACCAACACACTCAAAGTTGTTGTTTTTGTCCCTGAGAGGCTCCGGTTGTTATTCCAAGTGTGTGACATCGTTACAGAGAGGAAGATGATTTATTTTAACCACAAACAGTTGTTACATCAAATTCAGCACAAAAACACAAACAGGATGAAGCTGCGGGTCACACGTCATGTCGACTGAGCGCCTTCCTGTGCTGCACATCGGATCAGATTGGGGGAGTTTCCATTTAGATGACGACGTGGAAACATAAAGTCGATATTAACTCTGTGTGTGTGTGTGTGTGTGTGTGCGCGCGCGCGCGTGTGTGTGTGTGTGTGTGTGTGTGTGTGTGTGTGTACAGATGATAAGGAGTATGACATCTACATCTCGTATGCGAGGAACAGCGAGGAGGAGCAGTTTGTTCTGTCCACTCTGAGGAACGTTCTGGAGAATGACCTCGGATACACCGTGTGTATCTTTGACAGAGACAGTCTGCCGGGAGGGAGTGAGTACACACCTTAACACACACCTGAACTACAGCCTAACACACACCTGAACTACAGCCTAACACACACCTTAACACACACCTGAACTACAGCCTAACACACACCTGAACTACAGCCTAACACACACCTGAACTACAGCCTAACACACACCTGAACTACACCTTAACACACACCTGAACTACAGCCTAACACACACCTGAACTACAGCCTAACACACACCTGAACTACACCTTAACTCACACCTTAACACACACCTGAACTACAGCCTAACTCACACCTTAACACACACCTGAACTACAGCCTAACTCACACCTGAACTACAGCCTAACACACACCTGAACTACACTTTAACTCACACCTTAACACACACCTGAACTACACCTTAACTCACACCTTAACACACACCTGAACTACAGCCTAACTCACACCTTAACACACACCTGAACTACAGCCTAACTCACACCTTAACACACACCTGAACTACAGCCTAACTCACACCTTAACACACACCTGAACTACAGCCTAACTCACACCTTAACTCACACCTTAACACACACCTGAACTACAGCCTAACACACACCTGAACTACACCTTAACACACACCTGAACTACACCTTAACTCACACCTTAACACACACCTGAACTACAGCCTAACTCACACCTTAACACACACCTGAACTACAGCCTAACTCACACCTGAACTACACCTTAACACACACCTGAACTACACCTTAACTCACACCTTAACACACACCTGAACTACAGCCTAACTCACACCTGAACTACACCTTAACACACACCTGAACTACACCTTAACTCACACCTTAACACACACCTGAACTACAGCCTAACTCACACCTGAACACACACCTGAACTACAGCCTAACTCACACCTGAACTACAGCCTAACACACACCTGAACTACACCTTAACACACACCTGAACTACACCTTAACTCACACCTTAACACACACCTGAACTACAGCCTAACTCACACCTGAACACACACCTGAACTACAGCCTAACTCACACCTGAACTACAGCCTAACTCACACCTGAACTACAGCCTAACTCACACCTGAACTACAGCCTAACACACACCTGAACTACACCTTAACACACACCTGAACTACAGCCTAACTCACACCTGAACTACAGCCTAACTCACACCTGAACTACAGCCTAACTCACACCTGAACACACACCTGAACTACAGCCTAACTCACACCTGAACTACAGCCTAACTCACACCTGAACACACACCTGAACTACAGCCTAACACACACCTGAACTACACCTTAACACACACCTGAACTACAGCCTAACTCACACCTGAACTACAGCCTAACTCACACCTGAACTACAGCCTAACACACACCTGAACTACACCTTAACACACACCTGAACTACAGCCTAACTCACACCTGAACTACAGCCTAACTCACACCTGAACTACAGCCTAACTCACACCCGAACTACAGCCTAACACACACCTGAACTACAGCCTAACTCACACCTTAACTCACACCTTAACACACACCTGAACTACAGCCTAACACACACCTGAACTACACCTTAACACACACCTGAACTACAGCCTAACTCACACCTGAACACACACCTGAACTACAGCCTAACTCACACCTGAACTACAGCCTAACACACACCTGAACTACAGCCTAACACACACCTGAACTACACCTTAACACACACCTGAACTACAGCCTAACACACACCTGAACTACACCTTAACACACACCTGAACTACACCTTAACACACACTCCTACTTCAGCACACTCGTCTCCTGCAGGTCAGGCTGCTGCTCTTCTCACTCGGCTAAATGAGTGTAACAGTTTCTACTCCATTTGCTCTTTGTCATAAACAAGCAGAGAAGAACATGACACACACTCAGAAACACACTCCATCCATCCTTTCATCCATCCTTTCATCCATCCTTTCATCCATCCTTTCATCCATCCTCCATTCTTCATTATCCCTCCTCTCTCTCTGCAGCCATCACAGATGAGACTCTGAGTTTCGTGGCTCGTAGCAGGCGCGTCCTGGTGGTCGTTAGCCCGGGCTATGCCTCTCAGGGATCCCAGGCTCTCCTGGAGTTGAAGGCCGGCATCGACGGCATGGCTCGGGGCGGGCACCTGCGGGTGATCCTGGTCCAGTACAAGCAGGTCCAGAGGCACGTCTGGGTTAGGGAGCTGAAGAGGGCCAGGATGGCGCTGGCGCTGGTCCAATGGCAGGGGGACAAGTCAAAGGAGCTGACGTCTCGTTTCTGGAAGAGGCTGAGGGTGGAGTTACCTGTGAGGAGGGTCGGCAGCAGGAAGGAGGGGGGGAGCAGTACGGAGGGGGTCCTGATGAGGATGCTCAGTCAGAACAGCACAAACACGCAGTCAGGACTCGTCACCAACACGGTCAAAGAGCCGCACAAAGTCCTCATCTCTGCAGCGTGACACCAGGTGTTTAGACGTGTTAGAGGAGGTCACATGACCTAGAGCCAGAGTAACAGGCGGGAAGCAGCTTCCTGTTCCTGTGAAGGGGCTGATGATGGCGCTGCATGGCATTAAGGAATTAAAAGATTTATATCCTCACAACCCTGAATATTTTCTAAATTTAATAAATAAATATCAAAACAGGACTGAAGTTGGAGGTTAGCTAAAAGCTACATGTTGTTAACCTTGTTTGTAGTCCAAGTGCTCACTGACAGAAGCATCTTATAATGTAAAGTTTTGACATATTTAAGAAATAACTGAACCACCAACTGTCTAACACAAGGTGGCATGGTTGCAAATCATTTCAATGAATCAGTGCTTGTTGTGTTCTAGCAACAAAAACAGGACGGAAAGGGTCTTTAGAACTTATCAGATCTTTTATTTTAATGCTTTGAAACTCCTTCAACTCGTACCTACCTTTGACTTAAGGACCAGGGAGTCTAAAAGATCTGAGCTGGGAGGAAATAAAGATGATCCAGTCAAGCAGGAGTTTAGAAACCAAAGTACTGAATGGACAAGTGGATGTTGAGCTTTTTGTCTGATTCAGCTGCCGCTCTCCAAAGAAGAACAAAAAAAAACATATCATTCATCTTTTCATGAACTCAGCTGCAGTCATGTTTGACTTCTCATTACCAGTATTTTAACCATAATCACCTTTCATCTGCACACAATCCGTTCATTTTCTCTGTGTGTAAGGTACTTCAGATCCCTCTCAGGAGTCCAGCTGCAGGATTTGGAGGAACTGTCTGGAGGAATAATTCTCAGAGCTCCTCAAAACATGTGTGTGAAGTTTCTTGTTCTAAATCCACTCTGATCCAGTATCTGATCATGTCTATAAACCCCTCTATTTCAGCCCTGCTCAGAACAGGCTGTTTCTGTGTCTGTACCTTTAAATATGTAAATGAGCAGTGTCTGACCACGCCCCCTCTCTGGAAGGGCTTGGGTGTACTCGGTCTTTCTCGCTCCATGTCCTATTGTTTACGGTGAGAAGGCAGACTCAGAGGGCAGAACAAACACCTAGCTGAGGGAGTGTCACCCACCTGGGGGAGGGGCTACTGGTGAAGTGGATTTTACATGATATGTGACCTTTAAAGAGTTTGGTATCTAATGATTACAAAAAAGTATTTGGAAAAATAAGTCAGTTGACCTTTAGGTGGCACTAAAAGTCACATCAAATGATCACTTAGATCATTGAGGTTCATCCACAGAGGAATATAAATGTCTGTTAGAGAAATAGAGTTTGATCATCTTTATAGAGGGAAATTTACAGTTTAATGTAAGAGCTTTTTAAAGCTCCACAGTTTAATGTCCTGATCAAAAAGTGTTTTCACAGATTTCAATTATCATCAATTGAAAATATTATTTTCCATGAGTTTCACAGTTCTTTTAACCTTTGTTATTTTTGTCATTGTTTCTGATTTTAAGCGATATTTTGCTATTATATATTTTTATACTTATCAGATGAACTGACTGTAAAATGCATCCTGTGCTTTGTCATGCTCTTAACTCTTTCAGAGTTTAGTTTATGTTCTAAATAAAGGATTCATTCATCAAAGTGTTTTCATCTCATGTCCTCCATTTGCACCAAAACACGTCATCTTCAAACATGCACATATAGCAAAAAGATTTGGTTATACATAATGCAAGAAGAATTATTCCATTCTCTACAGATATTTACCATGACATAATGCAGTCATACAAGCAGCTATTATTTTAACACAGAATCTTAGAGTGAGAGATTTCTATGATCACACCCGAGGTTTGTATCTTTAATGAAAACTGATTAAATAACAGAGAGAAATGTAGTTAATTGAAAGTAAAATGTAAGATCCGGCAAAAACACAATAACTGAAACTGTATCATATGTTTGACACAAACACACTGAATGATGGTCTAACTTTAGATTCTGCTCCTGAATGCTCTGGATTTGTTTGGACCAGAGAAGGTAGGAGCTTTTAAGACACGCCCCCACATGGCCGTTTTGGACGCCCCTCTGTTTGTCAGATATGAGAGCAGTTATCAGGTCAACAGGTGTTGCAGCGATGGAAGCGGTCAAGAGAAGTGGTTCAGATAGAAGTGATTGTACCCGACCTAAAAAGCCTCTGCATGTTTCTAATAAGCTCCACGAGCAGAAACGTGCTCAAACTAGGATCAATATTGGAGATGCTTTTGAAAAATGGAGAGAGGTTAGAACACAGAAAGGTTTACAGACCCATGCAGAGCTGGATAAACACTGAAGCTTCAGAGTCCACCACATGGTGACCTGAGTGAGAGGGGGGGGGGGGACAGCTCTCTATGATGTTTAGAATGTAGACTGCAGTACCCATTTTAACCACTAGGGGGTCAGAGTTACAAACTGCTCCTTTAAAAAAAAGAGATACCGACCCACCTATTCAAGGTGGTCTTTTTCACCCCTAGTTTGAAATGTGTTTCTTCTTTGTTGTGAGCCTATGAAAAGCTGAGGTCTTTTGAGATTAATACTTCCTGTTCTTCCTCTGTCAGACCAATCAGAGGCCGTCATGCTCTCCATGCAGCGGAGCCGCCGCCTCCTTTTCGTCCTCAGTCCGGACTTCCTGGCAGAAAAGAGCTTCAGCCTGCTGGAGTGTCGTCTGGGTCTGTACCTCCAACACGGCCTCCAGGCCTCCATCGTCACCGTGGTGTTCCGCTCCGTCAGCAAGCTGCCCTGTGTGGAGGTGGCTCAGCTCCGGCACGCCGCCAACACCTCGGTCACATGGAGAGGGAGTCAGTCTGAAGCGCCGCGCTCACGCTTCTGGCTGAAGCTGAGGCTGGCGTTGCCCGTGCGGCCGCTCGCTCTGGGCCGGAGGATGATTGACAGCACGTCGTCTCACTCCGACCTCGCTGCTCTGGCGCTCCAGAGAGTCCACAGGATCCACAACCAGAACCAGAACCAGGAAGGCAGTGCCAATCAGAGCCGCAGAAACAGGCGACTGTCAGCCAATCAGAGCCGGAGATACAGGCAGGCCCCACCCACTAGGAGGGGAGGGATGAAGAGGTGGAACACATGCAGGGAGGACGGGTCACAGCACAGCGGGAGGTGCTCAGAGTGCAATGGGATCGTTGATCAGGTGGAGGACAGGGGGGCGGAGCTAACTGTGGAAACTGAAATGCTGCAGGTGTCACATGACAGGACTGACATCCAGTCAGATCCTGTTCCTGAAACAAACCCCACCCCACATCTTGACCCCGCCCAGGAACCTTCCCCAACACCTGACCCGACACCTGACCCTGACCTGGCTTCAGGCTCCGCCCCCTCACTCTGCCAACATAACGATGACATCATAAAACACAAGCAACAACAGCAGCTGCAGGTGATTGGTTCGGTTGAGGAACTATGATGTCATCAGGATCAGGGGCGGGACTCTTGTTACATTCAAGCAGCAACATAGCTCCGCCTTTATATTTGCCCCGCCCCTTTAACACTGACGCTCTGATGGACACATTTAACACAGACTTTGAGGAATGCTGCATTCAAGGTACAAGAAGAAAATCGTAAAACTAAGTCTTGAAATAATCAAACTATTCACTGACGTCTTCCAACAGTGATTCAGTGATTTTTGGTCTCTTTTTTTAAAGATGAATTCTTCCAGAACAATCGTCCTCCTGATGGTTCTTCTTCTCTCAGACTCTTAACCGACCTGCACCT